AGGACAAGTTATTGCCCTCTTCACAGGGGGCGGGCCTTCAATATAATTCCCCTCCTGTTTGTGGTTGTTTTAGTCCATTTAGTGTTGCTGTAATGGAGTACTCGAGACTGGCTAGTTTATGAGGAAGAGTTGTTTATTGAGCCCATGATTCTGCAGGCTGAGAAGTTGAACGCATAGTGCCCCATGTGGTCAGTTCCTGGAGAGGGCCACATGCTGGGTCAAAATATGGCAGAGAAGCAGAAAAGTGAGTGGGTATATGCAAAGAGAGCAAGACAATATCTAGGAAGTGGAACTTGCTTTTGCAACAACCAATCTCTGGTAACTAGTTCTGGGAGAATGAACTAGCTCCCTCAAGAGGGTATTGATCCATTCGTGAGGGATCTACAGGCTGGACCCAAATACCCCTATTAAGCCCAACCTCCCAACACTAACACGTTGGGGATCAAATTTCAATGTGAGTTTCCGGGAGGACAAACTGAAACCATAGCAGTAGTGTTATAAGTCTCAGGGTTGGTCACTGCTGCTGGAAATTAATCAGCAGTAGCAGTAGCCACATCACCTTGGCGAGAAGTCCTTGGTGGGCCAGTGCATTGTTTCTGTCTGTCTTTGCAACCATTGTCTATGGGGCCACTGAGCAAGTACCAGGCTGGCTGGGGAAAGGGTAGGGCATTGGGCAGGCAATCTTTTAAGTACATATTTAGAACCTCCTACACAGTAGGGGCTCTTGTGATGATTCCAGTGGGACACAAATGTTCATCTATATTGGTGTCTAGTATAAGACATCCATCCACATTCCTCTTCCCAAGACCTTCTTTGATGTCCCCGACCATCCATCTATACTGTCACTCCTGAGGATGACACGGTGAGGTTCTGCCTTTCAGGCCATTTCTCCTTTCAGGCAAAGTGTATATTGTGGACCACTCCAAGTTCTGCTCCCTGGGAGATATCCTTTCCCCACTGTCTTTCACCCTGGGTGGGGCTGCAATGAAATTCCCACAGGTGCCAGCAAAACTTGCAGAGTTATCTGTAAGCCATATTTGACTTTTTCTCCTTGGTGAACTGCTCAATGGGGATTCCCCATGAGACCATGGCTATGATGGGGAGTGAGCATGGCAGGAGGAACACCTAGAGGATAAAGCACGGACTGCCCCTGCAGCTCCAGTGCAGTCAGCCACATGAAGCTCAATGCTGATACATACCACTCCCGCCTGATGAGGATGTGCTGCTGGGTTGGGTCCATGCGACTTCTGGCTTGGTGTGTCATCACTTCAAGATGGACAGCTTAGGTCACATGGTCACCTAGTGTCTCATGGTCAAGCCCTCAGAAGCAAGCCCCAATAGCAAGTCAAGAATTATTTCCAAAAGGAGAATTACTTGTCTAAGAGAGCTTGGCTTTGCTCCAAAAGCTAAGCAGCTGCAGCTGTGCTTCCTCTACTGGGATCTGCTGCAGGCTCCACACATCCTCCAGGTCTGCCCCAGTTGCTCTGAGCCCCATCAGATCTCCTGGGTCTAAGGGCATTAGGGAGCTGCATACAGTGGGGCTGATCCAACTGGAGAGTCATCTCTTGCCTAGGCCTCCATTAATAGTAAATGAGTCAGAACAGCAAATACAAAGCTCATGTTTAGATGCTAGAGAGTTCCATCAACATCTGTGCCTTCGTGGTGGCACTAACGTCGGCAGCTCCTACAAATATATGGTATTGCCTTTTGTCTATTTTGGTAGGAAGGGGGAACCTAAGCAGTGTGACATTAGCCCTTCCAAAAATCTATACTCTTACTCCATGGATCAGAAAGCCAGTATGGGTATTCTGCAATTGCTGAGGGTAGCTATTCTAGCTATAGACTCAGACACTGGGTAAGTTACCGGATGGTTTTTCACTGAGAAAGTTGAAGTAGTTGAAAGAGAACTTCCACAGTCTACCACCACCACATCCGCCCACCTTCCAGCATCTGCTCCCACTTATAATCTGTTCTCTTACAACACGTGGTTCTGTAATGGGCATTAAATCGAATATTGCTAAGTAAGGAGATGATGTCACTCTAATGTGGAAATTGGGTTGGTTCACATGTGATTTTTTTCTCCTTAGCATATTAATGTTGTGTGTCACCAGACAGGAGCAGCTGAATATGAAGGATGCCAGTGGAATGAGTTGAACCAACAAGGTGTGGAATAAGGCACTTTATATGACGTCCATAATCACAGGCTTTTTCTAGTTCATCTTGGCTGCAGGTTCTGCCGTGGCCGGGCAGACTGCCTGTTGTGTAACTCAGCATCTCCTAACCCTTCTTTATGTCCAAGTCTATCAAGGTGCCTGTGCCCTTTTCTTGGAAAGGTGAAGTCCTTTATGATGTTTTTGTTAGGAATATAATGTCTTAATGGTACCAATATTTTTACTAAGATTGGTGTTTCTGTTAGTGTTTTGGTTGCAAAATTGGATGTTTTCAATGGTTTGCCCCAACCAGAACTTACATTTTTTTCATAAAATATTTTTAGCGCATAAATTTGGGAATGAAAAAAATTTTAGGAGCATACTTATACTATAGCTGAAATGTCTGTATGCTGTCTTCCCACCTGTAATCGTGAACACACGATCGTGTTCCTTTCTAACGCTAATTCCTCCAATTGCGGACTAAATTTTATCCTTTTATTCAAGGACATCACTCTGGCACTTGTCCCTTTTTTCCTATTTCATCATCCTTTCATCTCTCCTGGAATTCTCTTTAACATAAAAAAAATGCCGCTGCTTCTCCCAACAAATCATTCTCTTGCTTCCACATTTCTTACCAATCTACGACTCCTATTTCTTTTCTCACCTGTTTGCAAAACTACTTGTAAGAACTGTCTGTGCCCACTCTCTCCAGCTCTTCCCTATTTTCTCTTAAGCTCACTGCAGTCTCTTTTAGCTCCTCTTCCATGCCACTGAAAGACCCATGGTCAAGGTCATGAATGACCCCCTCACTGCTAAAGCCAATGGCCAATTTTCAGTTCTTACCTTGTTTGGTCAGTTAGCAGCATTTATAGGATTAAATACTCCTCCTCTATACCTTTGCTCATGTTTTCCAGGCAATCACACTAGGTTTTCTTTCTGTTTCACTGGTTGTTTCATCTCAGTCTTCTTTGCAGATTCCTCTTCTCCCAACCTCAGTATTGGAGGAATTCAGGGCTCAGCCCTGGTCTTTTTCTCCCATTCTCAATCCTTTGGTGATCCCATCCAGTTACATGCCACCTAAATACTGAAAATTGCCAAATATGTATTTCCAGAGAAGACCTTTCGCTTAAACTGCAGACTTACATATTCAATTGCCTAATCAACATCTCCACTTTAATGCTTATTTCAAAATTAGCAAGTCTAAAACTGTCTAGCAAGTCTAAACAAGATCTGCTAGTTCAGACTGTCTAGACTAGTCTAAATTAGACTGTCTAGACTAGCAAGTCCAAAACAGAACTTCGGATACTTCCCACCAAACCTGCACCCTCTGTAGCCTTTCCTCTCTTAGTTGATGAAAACTCTATTGTTGCAGGTTCTTGGCCAAAAATCTTCAGTCATTCCTGTCTCCTCTCCACTTATCATTCCTCACATCTAACACATCAGCAGATCCTTCTGGTTCTACTTTCAAAATATATCCAGAATCCACGTGCCTCCTACCATCTCTGTTACCATCCTGGGGAAAGCTGCCATTTTCTTTTGCCTGAATTATTGCAAAAAACTCCTGATGGCTTTACTTTCACTTTTCCCTTCCTACAATCAATTTGCAATATAGCAGCTACAGTATCCTTTAAACATATGTTAGATGACATCACCTAGTCACAACTCTTTCAGTGGTTCTGAGTAAAAACTAAAGCCCTTAAAATAGTCTTCAAGGCCCCATCTGATCTAATATACCACCTCTACCTGCCATCCATTACCTTGTTAACCTAATCTCTCATTTTCTATCTACTGTATCCACTACATGCCAGGAGTATCTCTCTTCTCCCTCAAGTTGTGGTAATCAAAAATATCTGCAGAAATTAACGTATATCTGCTGAGGACCAAAAATTTCCCCTGGCTGAGACCTCTGCTTGAACCCAAGGAGTAAGGACTACTGGAACCTTGCTTTTTCTGAGTTGTCAAGTTCTATCAAAAGCAATAGCCCTCCCCATAGTGCTTGTATTCTTCAGGTTTTTAGTGTTTTCCAGAGCGTCGGGTAAACACAGGCATCATCAACTGTTTCACCATCACATGCCATACACTTTCTATAATACTAGCTGTAGCCTCACTGCCTTTAACCCAACCAGGCCAGATAATGAATAATGAATTCACATTATCAGGGGCTTCTTGTTTGAAACCCCTCAGAATATCAATCTCCATTATCAGGGGCCCAGCTGTTAACAACACAACCAATTTACTTAGTTTTAGAAAAAAATAAAATGTATTAAAGATTAGTAGGTAGCTCTTAGAATTTTCTAGGAAGGCCACAGAGGGAAGCTTAGTGGTGGCTATGCAGCCAGGAGCACTGGTGAAACCTCAGGACAGGAATGTTCTGGGGAAGACCTCTTTGTGCTGCTATTGGGCACAAATGCCATAGCTTGCACGTGAGTGCACCTAATACCAGGGGTCCAATTACCACACCCTGGCTGGAAAACAGATTTTATGGCTTCTGCTTCAGAGAGGTGATTCACAGGGTGGAAAATTTCCCAAACATAGGAAAGTTGTTCAAATGCTACTAAAGCTACCAATAAGTTGAACAATTATATCAGACGATTGAAAAAAATTAAACCAGAGCATATATGTTCCTCAACTTACTGTTTCTTTTTGTCAGGAGCAAACAGAAGAAACACACTGAATTTCTGTAAGTAAGGGTTAGGTGACAATCTATGAATGCTTTTAGAAAAAAAGCACTTTTCATTTTCCATCATGCTGAAGGCTTAATTCAGTTGTTATTCTCACTAATGGTTTATATAATAAACACATAAAATATATTGCAAATACAAATTATTTTCATTCCAATGGAGAAGAAAATTACAGGCTCAAAAATCAAGTTTAATATCAAAAGAAGTTACATATAAAGGTTTTTACATGTTCAAAAAATGGATAGTTAAAATATCCCAATCTGGTGTTGACTGTCACATACTTAGGTGAACCCCTGAAAACTTTTATTTTGAAGTTGAAGTTTTTGCTCAGAAACTGGGCAGAACAGATCTTTTCACATTCTAACAGAATGTGAATATAAAACTTAAGTCTAAAAAATATTCAGTAACTTTTTTTTGGTCAAAAACATTAAGCACTTTAAAGTATAAAGCAGAAACTCTTACCAAGCACATGTACCCATCAGCCACACCTCCTATTTTTGGGGGAATCTGGTTACTGGGAGCTTTGTGGGTGCTATATGAATCCTAGAGACAGCAAACTTCTGCTGTACAGCTAACTTACAAGGGCCTGACCCTGGCTAATGGTGGCAAGCCTGCTACAGTCCAGAAGAGTGTGACTTCTTATATTTACATATGAACGCATCTGTCTTTCCAAGGCTAACTTTGTAGCATTCTACTGGGACCAAGGAGCCAAATGGTGACATTTTGTTTAAGAACTCGTGGTTACTGGCTTCGAATGAAGTTGACACTGTCTTGGATGCACCAGTGTTTTCTTCAGGAATCAAGCACTTTTTAATTCCAGGTTCATTTGTGTGACTGTCCTTGGAATTGAAAGGGATACTGCCCTCTTTATAATCTGTAAGGCGCCTGTGGTGATCTTCACTAAGCAACAATACAATGGTTCCACCAACATGAAGCACTCTGTAACAAAAAAAGATGGTAATTGCCATATTTCTTCCTTTCCAGACAACAAACAATCCCACTTCATTGAAAACATTTCGTGTCTTTAATTTGAAATTTAATTTTACTCATTTAAATACAAGGATTTTTGATAATTAGGTAGTATCTTCTATAATGCATATTCATTATAGTAATTATAAAATCCCTAGTACAAATCTGCTTTAATTATCTATTTTTACTCTACTTAACAGGAAAGCCTCAAAGTAAATTGTAGTCACAGTCTAATAAATGATTGTACAAAGGAAACGGCGAATGACAGAATCCTAAAGACTGCATATATTAAAAGCAGTAGGCTGACGGCAGGAGAAAGTTAACAGGAAAGAGTTAGGACACGAACAAAGAAATGGCAAAGGAAAAATCAGAAAAAGAAGGGCAGATCTTGAAATGTCAGCTTTTTGAGGAGAAGGCATTTACTCAGTCATCAAAGTCTGTGTAGCACTTATGTGGAGAAAGTGATGAAAACACTCGCCTGTGTCCTGTGGCACAGTCCTGTAAGTTGCCAAGAGATCACTGAACATCTCTTTGGGAGAGAAAGTCAAGTAAAGGGTGTGAAAATGCCACAATCAAGGCAAGCAAAAGGGCCTTGGGAACATGAGGTGGATCCTAAACCCAGGCATGGGAGAGAGGGGAGAAGTTTCCAGAGGAAGATACCTGTGCTGTGAGTTAAAAGACAAGCAGGAATGAGCCAGGCAAAGCGGCTGCAGCAAGGGAGGGTGCTGGGAGCAGAAAAAGCAGCAAAGACAGGAGGAAGTGGAGAGGAGGCAGCTCTGAAAGCAGCTCGGTGGGTGGGTGAGTCAGAGCAGGTGGGAGGTAGAGGGAGGAGGGGAGTAAGGAGATCAGCTTAGAACGCGCTGATGCACCTAAGGAACACGTAAGTGTGGATTCCACCAGACAGCTGGATACACAGCAGGAGTAATGAGAAAGACCAGGCCTTGAGGTAAAGAAAGAGTAAATGGTAACTAAAGCTGTAATGGTGGATGGGATCACCTGGGGTGGCAGTACAGGGTGAGAAGAGAAAGTGGGACAAGGAACAGAGATTTCACATTTTAAAAAGTGACGGAAGACCCATCAAATAGACATTCTAAGAGAAAATCTGGACAACAGTGATGTCAGGGAAGCCAAAGAAGTACAATGTCAAGAAGGAAACGGTCTCAACAGTGTCATATGCTATAGGGCCGGTGTGTAATCCCAACATTTTGGAAGGCTGAGGCAGGAGGATTGTTTGAGCCCAGGAGTTTGAGGCTAGCCTGGGCAACATGGCAAAACCCTGTCTCTACCAAAAAAATACAAAAATCAACCAGGTGTGGTGGGGTGTGCCTGTAGTCCCAGCTACTTGGGAGGCTGGGGTGGGAAGATTGCTTGAGACCAGGGGGCAGAGGTTGCAGTGAGCTGAGACTGCACCACTGCATTCTAGCCTGGGCAACAGAGAGAGACCTTGTCTTTAAAATAAAATAAATTAAAAAATAATACAATAAAATAACAAATGCTATAGGACTAACAGGTGATCAGGATGATGAGAAATCATTAGTGAACCCAGGGACAGCAATCCTAGCTGAAGGCAGGAGCAGAACCTCATCTGCCAGGGTGGATGGAACTGGAAAGTGAGGAAGCAGACGTGTCAAGTGCAGACAGTTCTTTCAAGAAGTTCGGCTGCACAGGAAAAGAAACAGAGTGGCAGCTAAGGACCTAGAGTTAAAGGGAATCTGCCTCATGCCCAGCGAAATCTAAGAAGCTTAGGTGGTTCTGCCCAGTCTAACTCATTAGCAAAGCTAGACAATTCTGTCTCCAAATTGTATCACATATTTGTCTACTTCATTCATAGTTTGCCTGGACCACAGCAACAATCTGGTAGACAGGTCGTGTTTCCATTCTTGTCACCCCTCCCACTCTCTCTTCCGTTTCTACACAGAAGACAAATGTAAATTCCCTGCTAACTCCTCAGTTGCTTGTACTGTACTTCGAATACATTCTAACCCCCTTACTCTGGCACCCAAGGCTCCTACACAATCTGACCCTCACCTACCTTTCAGACGTCACTGCCAGCTTTCTTTGCTTATGACCTTCCTTCAGCTGCTCAAACTCACCAAGCTCCTTCTCACCTTAGGACATTTGGACTTGCTGTTCACCCTGCATTTAACACTCATTCTCATCACTCACACCCCACAGTCACATATCACTTTCCCAGAGAGGCCTTTCCTGACTACCTAGCTAGGGTAACCACTGCTTTTCTCTCACTCTAAAGTGAAACATTTTGTTTTATGTCCATCACAGTACCAGTCATGATCTGAAATTATCGTTTGTTTACTTATTATCCATCTGTCTTTTCACAATAAATGGTCAGAGACCTTGCCTGTCCTATTCACCGCTGTAATCTCCAGGGCCAAGTACGTGGAAGTGCATGGGAGATGCAAAGACTTCCAAACGTGTCTGGGGAAGGGATAAATGAATCTCCTGGAAAGACCAGCAGATGAGTAGGCAGAAGATAAAAATGAGAAGTGGGCAGAGTGTGATCCTTGAGGAGGAAGGAACTGAGAGGATAAACCCTCGCAGGAAGAGGGAAACCTCTTCTACTGAGCAAGGAGGAAGTGGATGGGAAAATGAGTACTCCTGAAGGCAGAAACTGAAATACTTTTTGGGGCAATAGGTTAGCAACACTGTATCAAAAATATGAAATGTGCATAACCTTTGACCCAGCAATCTCACTTCTAGGAAATTATCCTAAGAAGATGTAATAGTAGAATTAGTAGAATAATAGCAATAATAATGGTGATAGAGCTAATATTTACTGAGTACTTAATACGTACCAGGCAGTTTGAAATGTTCTGTATTACATATCATTTAACCTTCAGAATGATCTTTTTAAGTATGTCCTATATAGCACTGTCATTTTGCAGATGAAGAAACTGTGGTACTGTGGTGCTTGGTCATGCAGTTAAGTTTGAAAAACTGTGTAAGGATGTTCAAAGAATGGTTTTTTATTGAAATTAAAAATTGGGAATTAGCTAAATATTCATCCATAAGCAATGGTTGCATAGTGGTACATACATATAATGTGGCAACCACTGAAAACTGTAATGTATATTATAAGAACTGATCAAAAAGGAGATTCACAACTTTGTTGAGTAGGAAAAAAGCAATGTTCCAGTACAGTAAGTTAAAGATAATTCTATGTACAGTAGAAAACATTCATCTATTTGTGCATATGTACATGGCAAGATTCCTAGCAGGACATTCACCATTTATTATAATTTTTTTCAAATAATGGAGAAAAACTGAAAATCACCTGAAATCCTGCTACTCAGAGATTAACATTTTTCCATAAATATCATTCTAGACATCTTTCCATGTTCATGCACACATAATTTCTTTTCCTTCCTTTTTTTTTTCTAGAAATGGGGGTCTCATTCCATCACCCAGGCAGCTTGATCAAACCTCAAGCTACTGGTGTCACCTAGTTAATATATATACATAATTTCTTTTCTTTTTAGAGATAGGGTCTCATTCTGTCACCCAGGCAGCTTGATCACAGCTCACTGCAGCCTCTAACTCCTGGGTTCAAGTGATCTTCCCACTTTAGCTTTCCAAGTAGTGGGGACTGAAGGTGCATGCCACCACACCTGACTAATTTTTTAATTTATTTATTTAGAGATGAGTTCTTGCTAAGTTGTCCAGGCTACTGTTGACTTCTGGCCTCAAGAGATCCTCCCACTTCAGTGTCTTGAGTTGCTGAGACTACCTTGAGCTACTACACCCAGATATACATAATTTCTTACTATGAAAGCTATTCAGAAATTATAAAGCAATGTTTACCAAATTCTATTCCTTTGAACACAACTGTGTATCAGTGATGATAAAAATAAAAATATTACTATTTCTTAAGAAAAAACTCTGTGGTCAATAAACAACATCAGAGATTTCTCTTTTGTATGTGAACCTGAAAACCTAGGAGTAGATGATGCAAATAATCCTGAATTATTTGTCCATGGGACACAGTAAGTCTTAACCACCTACTACAAATCTTTTGCTCCAGGCAGGCTGGCGTACTCACTGTTTCATCTCCACACCTTTTGCTGTACTACTTACTAAAGAAATACTTACTAAACATCTGTATGTATAAAAATGATGTTGTCTCCTTTTTCTATTGTCTTCACTTACAAATTTCATTGAAATCTTGCTTCTTCCTGAAACCATCTCAAGCCTCTTTGGCACAGAGTGCCTTCTTCCTTTGAGTGGTGCAAGGCAAATTTTTAATTTTGCTCATGTGTTTGCATGGTTATATTTGAGAGGAAAACTCAAATGCACTTCTCTGAATTCCTCACAATGCTCTGCACCCATGAAATGGTTAATCCTTTAATAAATTCAAGGAGGAAATAATTGAGCTCAGAATGCATAGCTCATGTCACCAGAGTAATCATTTATCTGACAATCTTTAATTCTGATTGCATGTCCTTTCTTGAAGAGTTCAGCTCTGTAGTACATATAGTACTGTTTCCACTGCCTGTTATTAACATATTTACCAATCCCTTGTATTTGTTGTATTTTCACAAACACCATTTCCTATCCCTTTCATTTGCTATCTAGGGCCTTAAACTATCAGTAAACTATTGGAATAAAAATTATGTGTACTTAGATATATTTACATAAATCCCCATATACTTCCCAAAAGGATTTCAAGTGGTTTATACTAAAAAATTAGGTAAGTGATAACAGAGACTGGGCAAGTTCTAGGTGGCCAGCACTGTTGTAAGAGCTTCAAATCTGCTAATTCCTCAGAACCATGCCTTTAGGTCGGTTTTAAAGACAGGCAAATGGTTAAGCAATGTGTTTCTGACTGAAGGACTATTAAGTAATAGAGCCAAGACTGGAACTCAGGTAGTCTGGCTTCAAAGCTTACACTTAACCACTATATTATGCCACATTGCCTGTATGAAACCTCAAACCATAAAAATCCAAAAGTCAGATATAAAGGTTGGGGGCAGGTGGCAAGAAAGCTTGGTCACAGAATGAAAAGTGCCTTATATCCAAATGCATACATTTTAAACTGGTCCCACAGAGGCATTCTGGTTATGCAGGAAGTCACAAATATTCACTTCCTGATTCTCAAATATTTAAATTTACTGTCACAATTTCAATTACTGTCTCATTTTCAATCACCTGGAATAAAAACCAAACCCATCCTAGAGAAAGTCAGGCTGGTATGATTTACTTGGCTGAAACAATCGTCTACTCAAAATACCGCCCTCCACTGACTTGTAGAGATGCTACAATATGCAGCATTAGAGTTTCAGTTACAGTAAGCCACTATCTCTCGGAAAGCTTCCAGGCTAAATGTAAATCACTGCTCATACATGTTAGTATCTTACCGAATTGGTTAAAGGTATAGATGTGCATTATCTAGTTAGGTTCAAAGGCTGTAGTCATTAACCCTGGCTGCACAATAGCATCACCTTGGGAGTGTTTAAGAACTACCGACGCCCAAGTCCTCCACCAGATCAATTAAATTAGAGCCTTGGTGGGCAGGGGTGGAGAGCAGGGATCATTATTTTTTAAAAGCTCCTAAAATGATTTTTATACGAAGTCAGGGTTGCCATATCTGCTCAAGGGGAATGTGATATTGGGCAGCAGGGAGTGTAGGTACTCACTCAGGAAATGTCTGAATTATAGGTGCTGCCCAGAATGAGTGGTCTCAGGTAAGTGGTTTCATGAGTTAGGCAATTGGGTAGTGGGGAAAGTTGCTTAAAATAAGAGAATCCAAAAAGCAAGACAGAGAAGCGGGAGGTGCCAGGCTCTTTTTAACAACTAGCTTTACCTGGAACTAATAGAGTGAGAACACCCAGAAAAGAAGTGTGGAGCACCCAGCACCCAAAATACAGTGAGATGGCTTTTACTTGAGCTTAGACTTCATGTCAAGATTTAATTTTCTTTACAGAATGTTAGCCTTGACCCTGAATTTTCTCCATCTAAAACATATGGCTCATATTTTAAATTTGTGACCCATTATTTACATAACAGGCTCTTGACATTTATGTTATCAAATGCCCTGCTAGACAATTTAATATCCACTGACTTCTTATATTCATGTCCATTCATAACTCTATGCATTTTAGGTTCTCTTTTTCGTGAATTTAAATGATCTGAAAAAATACATATCCATGCCCCGTTGTTTTAACCTCTCAAAGAAATACTTCCATTGAATTATATTCCCTTAGGTCATTAGAAACCATAAGGTGAATACTTTCGCATTTTCATTTCACAGCTGCCATAGTTTGGGTTTGTACCCCTGTACCTCATGTTGAAATTTGATCCCCAGTGTTGGGATGGGACCTAATGGAAGTGTTTGGGCCATGTGTGCAGATATATCATGAATAGATTAATGTCCTCCCTGTGAGGGGCAATGAATGAGTTCTCACTCTATTACTTCCAGGTAAAGCTGGTTGTTAAAAAGAGCCTGGCACCTCCTGCTTCTCCCTCTTGCTTCCTCTCTTGTCATGTAATCTCTGCACACCGGGCTTGCCTTCTGCCATGAGTGGAAGCAGCCTGAGGCCCTCACCACAAACTGAGCAGATGCTGGTCCTGTACTTCTTTTCCAGACGTCAGAATCAAGAGCCAAATAAACCTCTTTTCTTTATAAATGTCCTAGCTTCCAGTACTCCTTCACAGCAACAGAAAATGGACAAAGACAACAACCAATATAAAGGTGTTGCCCATTCTATGTTATGGAACCTTCCTTATGTTATAGAATTCTGTTCTGTTGTTTAGCAGCTGAGTGATCATAAGAAAGTTAATCGTTCTGTGCCCCAGATTCTCATCTGTTAACTGTGGGGGATTAACACACACAGAAGGCAGGTTTTTTTGTGCGAGAGATAGAAGCAAATATGTAAAATTTTGCTTCAGACCAGTGAAATATAGGTCACTATTTCATACATTCAATTCTCAGTACATAATAGGGAATTATTATTTTTCTGAATAAAATTTATGGTATATGATGATATGGATAACATTTATTTCAACTATAAACTTCTGACTCAAAACCTTAGAAAATTAAGCTACAAAAACTCTGGGAAATTGCTACAAAGTAATCAGACCTTAACTGAAGAGCTATAATGTATTTCAGTTAAATGCCCAGTAGCTAAAAAATTATGAAAATAAATTCAACAACTTACCTTTCCATTTCTTGTAGAATCCTTTTGATGTCTTCTCCTAACTTAAATTTTTTCCCAAATGGAATGTCAGAAATAATAATATCAACACTTTCTGAAGGCAGTGGCAATTCTGAAATACAGAAATCAGAGAATTCTATTCCAGTAAGATCAAATATTTACAACCTAAATAATGAGAAAATTGAAGTAGACAGGATTATTTTTGCATAATAGATAAAATTTAGGGTTGCCAATATTGTTTTAAAGTAATTACAAGATTCCAAAATGCTTTCACAACCACTAATGATAAATGATACAGTTATTGTATCTGTTTGTTGAAAATTGGTTTTTCAGATACAATAAAATGTAAATTAAGCAGAATTTTAAATTAACCAGAAAACTCAATTCCCAAAATACACAGCTTGCATAGAAAGCTGTTCACTCAAGAACGAAATATACTAAGTTGCCTAGAAAAATCTTCTACAAAATTATATTCTACAACTTTCATTTCCCATTTTAAAACTGTACATTTAGATCTACTTGTTTTAGAGGAGAGGATCCATAACTATCAATGCAAGGAGAACTTCGAAGTTTAAGAATATCTATTAAGTCCGAAGACTAGAGAAAAGGCTACATAATCAATAATCAACACAATGATTATTGGTAAAAATTAAATATAGTGTCTGATTATTAATTCAAAATTGTTTTAGCATTTTAATGTTTTCTTCTCAGAAGGTAATACAGTACACTCTACCCTAGCATCCACATCTTCTGAATGTACTTTCCACTTTTTACTTATTTTACTTCTCATCCATTTTCTAAATTAAGTTGGATACTCATAAGATAGATGTCCTAATTTTCATTTTGAATAGTACCTAATTTTGCAGAAATGTAATGAAATTTAAATCATCTTCACTAAACATCAAAAGTTTCTGTTGGTAGGAAATTTAAAAACAAAACAAGAAATGCTTTGTAAACTGGGAAAGTCTAATGACTACCTGCTAGGTCTCTGCTAACCTTTATGTGGGGTTAAGAGAAGAGGAAGAGACTGTTAGAAAAAAAGAGGATAATATTCTTTTAAACTGAGACAGGAATTCTTTTTTTCCAAGTTGTATGTTAACCTCAGGGTTTTAGGGTGTTGATATAGTACACATTCATTTACAAAATGACTAAAGATAATAAATGGACAATGAAGGCAACCATAGTCCTCAAATGTTTTATTTATGAGGAACCATGCAGTAATTTATTTTTGAATTTAATCCCAAGTCCTTCTTTTGCCTTACCCTACACACGCAGTACCTACACGAGTTAGCTGCCCATTATGTCCAGGTTTGGTAACACTAATTATTTTCTTCTGGGTCTCCATTTTTATTGGGATCTTTGCTGCTCTATATAATATGCTAAACTCCCTTATATAATTTTAGAAGTTGAAGAAATAAACTTTATATAGATGGAAAAGAATTTATTTTAAATCTCCAGAACTAAGCAGTATCATCTTCCAATAGAGCATAAAATAATCGAAGCTTTTGTTGATGTGGTGTCAGACAGCTTGCATTTGGCTCTCTTCCTCACTCGCTGTGGGACTCTGGGAAATTACTGCTTCAGTTTCTTCATCTGTAAAACGGAATAAGAATATGTACCTCAGAAGCCAATACAAGAGGTCATATGTGGAAGACATTTAGAACAAGGCCTGGCACAAAGTGGACACTCAGTAACTGTTAGTTGCTTTGTGCTCGTTATTTACAATGTCCCTTTCTGATGTCAATGCTCCGGAGATGACAACCAGGTGGAAATCAGTGGGCCAGCATCCTTCAAAACTGCTTTGCAGAACACAGCATCCCGTTCTCATTCTCCGGCATCAAAGGCTGAGGTAGTGCAACTACTTCCAGGTGGGCCTCTCTGCTACTCTCTGTTCCTCCAGCAGTGGTTCTCAAAGTGTGGGCCCCATAGCAGTAGCCTCAGTTATCATCTGGAAACTACAACTCAGTGTGTATGAGAATCAGTTGAAAGGTCTTTGTAAAACCTTTGTAAAACAGATTGTTGTCCTCACCTCCATAGGTTTAGATGTAGATACTCCTTGAACCACGAGCACCTGATCCATACAATTCAACATACAGTAAAATCCTTTAAATTATTAGATGCTTTGAATACTGCTTGTGAACAAAAAGTTTGCTTATAACTAATGAGCTCAGATTCTGAAATAGAGACATAGCTCAAAACAAGTAAAAATCATCTCTTTTTTACATCTCTGCAGGATGACTGAAGAACATGAAAAAAAATTTAGTTTTAAAATACCAGTGGTTTTGAAGAAAAAAACTGCCCTATTTTTCCTCCTTCCAGGAGAAAAAGGGTAAAAATTTCCTGAAATTCAGGATTATGGTCCCAAGATATTTTCTTCCAAAGGGTTTGAAGGGCTTTCAAGATGCCTTTTTAGGCATATATTTAAAGACCAGGTTGATTGAGCACTTTTATAAAATTGAGCGTATCTTTCTTCCTATTTTTGTTCCTTGTTCTTTCTACTCTTTATTCTTTCTATTGTCCAGGTTTATAATATTCATATTCTGTCTCCTAAAAGTAATTCCCATAGTCATTTAAACTTAGTTCTACGGTTGAATTAATTTCATCCTTATCACTAATCATTTTGCCTTGATTTTCTCCATTTCTCAGCTGATTAATCTCTTAATGTCTGGATTAAATACTTTCCCCCAAAAGGGCTTAGCTGTGAAATCTTGCCTGAACTTTTTCATATTTCAAAATGTTTGTCCTTAAGATGATGTTTTGGTTAGGCATAATATTTTTGCATCACACTTTGCTTCAGTAACTTTGTAAACAGCATCTCAGAACCATGTAAATAATCACTATTCTATTGTTAAATATTCTATAATATTTTCTTTTCATTGTGGCCAAAAGATATTTTGTGGTTTACTTTATGATCTTATCTTGTTTGGTTGCTGAATTTGTTTTCTTTGATGATTACTATTCTTTTTCTCATTTCAGTAAGTATAAGAGGTTGTAAAGCTTTCAATGAAATTCTGATCTGTCATTTTAATTAAGAAGTCCATAAACAGTCTTAAACATGCAAAATGTAGTCTGGCATCTGGATTGGGTCAGCATACAATTTACAGTCCAAATGAACGTTTCTGAGAACAGAATGCTATAAATAACTAAAATTATATGCTTTGAAATATTTACTATCCAATAAATTGGGTTATTATGGTGTCCCTAAAAACATATCTGTGTACACTGAAGTTTTTAAGTTTAATACAAGACTGTTTTTTTGAGAAAAAATAATTTGTACACAGTGCTAATATTTGAACAAGTTCTGGTAAGTGAAGTATCTTTCAGTTCTATTTTTCTCATATGGAAAAGTGTAAATATTTCAGCCCTCCAGTTCACAGTCCCTCCACTCACAGTGCCTTTGACAAATATGTTCATAACATAAAACTCGAATTACCTCTATTATTCTTTTAATTGTTTTAACAAATTTAGATGATACAAAGTTAAGGTCTTCCCAATATCATTCCATTCCATTCTAGACTATAAATTTATCCAATTACAACAAGGAAAGTCATCAGGAGATTCTTTCCATACCATATCCAAAGTATATTTACGGAATTTCATAATTAAGTCTTGTGCATTGTTGAGCTTTCAGTAATTTGTTCATTTCTTCCTTTGTGTTTTTAGGGAAAGATGATCAATGTCTTCCTGTTGCCAGCTTTGTTTTTAATAACTGTAATTCACCAAAAAATTTAAAAGCTAAAGTATTTTGGCACTTCATTTGTTGAATCCTTTGATTACATATTTCCAGCATATTCTGATAAAATGCAATCAAAATTAGGGAACTTTTTATTTGTAAAGTTTATAGCACCATCCTAGGACACTCTGGCTGATTTACAGAGTAATTCTTTGAAGGCTTACACTTTAAAATCCAACTGATGGGCAAGCAAAAAGGAAAAATATACTGCCATGCAGACGTATTTTTTTGCATTCAGTCATCTTCATCACAAATAGCTTCTAGTTCAGCTATTCTGTGTATAATTAAAAACGAAGGCTGGGTACTGTGGCTCATACCTGTAATCCCAGCACTTTGGAGGCTGAGCTAGGAGGATCACTTAAGACCAACCTGGGCAATACAGTGAGACCCTATCTCTATTTTTTTAAAAAACAGGATTAGCCAGGTGTGATGGTGAGCACCTACAGTCCTAGCTACTTGGGAAGCTGAGATGGGAGGACTGCTTGAGCCCAGGAGTTCATTCAAGGCTATAATAAGCTATCATCAAAACTGCTTTGCTCTAGCCTGGGTGACAGAGCAAGTTCCTGTCTTAAAAAAAAAATCAATTATTCTGACAACTTAAGTGTCTGTTTCAATGGACATTGCAGCTTGTTTGGAGGTAATTATGAATTATATGGAAATGTTAAATTTCAAGTGCATTTCTGCTCCATAGGCTTTAGTAAGAATATTAATTTTTAACATAATGTTGTGGCTCACCAAAGTAATACATAAGCACACAGATGCACAATGCTGAACTGAATTTACAGTAACATTTATAAAGAAGTTTCATCTTTGACAGAAAAAAAAAAAAAACTATTGAAATTTCCAAGAATTAGGGTTAAAAAAAACCAAAACAAAACTACTACTGGAATTGACTTAACTGATTATCTTTCTGAATCATGTGATGATACTGAGATGGTATTGATACAAAACTGGCAAAATTTAACTGTCTGCAAAGGTCTTCTGCCACTGAAGCCAGCATATCAATAGCATATTAATAGCTTCATTTTGCTTAGGTGCATAACAAAATTTATAATTGAATATGAGCAAAATAAATTTGGAAGATAGCCATTTGATCTAAAAGGAAAGTCAAACTTCATAGAGTGATACTTTAGATGCATTTTTTTTTCAGCTGCATGTGATAGTTGGCTTTGGACCAAGCACTCTTAGAATTACTAAGTTTTTATTTTTTTCCCTTCAATTTTTAAGTTCCAGGGTATATATGCAGGATGTACAGATTTACAACGTAATGTACTGTGGTGGTTTGCTGCAGATGAACCATTACCTTGGAATTAAGCCCAGCAACCATTAGCTATTCTTCCTAATGCTCTCCCTCCTCTCACCCTTCCCCGACAGACCCC